AGCACATTTGTTCACTTGGTCGCAGCTGTTCATGAAGGTCTAAAATAAACACGCATACTTGTCACGCGCCACAAAATTGCTCACCTCAAAGGCTTCCTTCACAGCGATTCGGAAGGACACCGCCAAGTCGGGGTCGACGAAAGTGTCAGCAAGTATCAGGTCCAAGTTTTCCTTCAAAGTGAGCAGCTCCTTAATGAGGCCAACTCCCTCAGCTAGTGTGTTGAAGGCAAGGTATCTTTAGGTTGACCACGTAAGATACAAAAGAGGTCAGATATGCGTACTTTTTCATAAGAGCCTCCCCTATTGTACGTATCGCTTGAGACCAGGATAACTTCACCTCCGACGTGACATGGACCATCTAACACCGACAAGATGATCAAATCCCTTACGGGTTCCAGGCTCGGCAACGTAAGTCAAAGTAAGAGACAAACATAACGCCATTTCTCCGTCGTATTCCTTCACTGACCTCTAAGAATCGCAATAGAGTTTTAGCAGCCTCCGTTTTGGGCTCAGGTTTCGCATCAAGCAGCTCTAGGAGGCGTTCAGTACTAGTCAGAGACGCACTGTGCATGACCAACTAAAAACAGCAATGAAAAAAGGCGGAGCGAAGCAACCTACCAGCTGATCCCTAAGGATCCTATCAGTGTCCTGCCAAGTGTGAGAGTGGAGTTTACAGGCATCATGCAGGGACCTCTCCTTCTCCCATACACCCTCTACATAGTCCAGATATCTACACATCGTGAGGTATCCGGTTCGATCCCACCATAACGCATTCGAAATTCATAACTGGCAAATTTGTAACGCAACAGCTCAGAAGCCCATCTAGTGCATGCGAAATCCAGTGTTAGAGTTTCCTCAGCTGATCTCAGATTTTTCCTCACTAAGAATAGGAGTTAAAGCATGAATCAAGGCAGAAGTGTACAGAAACCAATACAAATTCCTCAGAAATCTTTCCCAGAATTTTCATATTGTCACCAACAGATCGAGTTAGTTGATAGTGTATAAGTGTGTAGTGAGTGTTGTA